ACCTCACTACAAAAAATTCACATATAATACATGCACATTATTTTACAACACCTTGCCAGATATTAAACAATTAACTCCGATACAAAAGTTTAAGTCCAAAGTAAAATCTTTCTGCTGCAGAACTGTTTCTATATAATTAGAGACTATACCGAGCATCGAAAAGGAAAGTAATATTAATTTTAACAATGACATTTAATGTATTATATACCATTTGGATTGTATAATTGTAAAGAACCTGTAACTCTGTAAGTATTTTACTTCAGCTTTTGGGTCAATGCCCCCCCCCCCCCATCTCGATCACGTTTTGGTCCAGTTTCCCTGATCCTCGAGCAAATGCTGAGATGCCCCCTTGTCTTGCTTCTGGACATAAATGCAACTTCAAATTAACTTCTCCCCGAAGCACGTTACACACAAACTTTAACTGTTTTTGAAGTAAATAAATAAAATAAAAATAGATTTTTAAGGATGGCTCCCTAACCTCAGCTAGAAGGCACTCGATTCGGCTGGTATGATAGCAACCTGTTGAGAGGCGGATACCAGAATGGCTTATGCTGTTGATGGGTCGGACAGTGCAGGGAGCTGCATATCCATAAACATTACTACAGTAATACAAAACTGATCGTACGAGTGTTCTACATAACCGCAATAGGGTAATGATATCGGCTCCCCATGACGTACCACTCCGCATTCCCAGATTAAGGAGGGAGTCACGTCTGGATTGTGGTCTGCTGATAGTAGCGCTCCACGTGAGGGATTTCTCAAACGTGAGCTCAGGATCCTGGCAGATTTAGCGAATGGAAGATGATTTTCTCCCAAGTAAAGGGCTGGATTGCTATGCAAATGCAATCCTACAGAAATGCACACAAGTAAATGTTGTAGGAGAAAAGTTGAACTCTGTTGACATTTTCCATTCGTGAAGCTTAAGCACCAATTGAAGTTTTCTCTGGATGACACTGATGCTACTAGCGAACAAAATATAGCAAAATCATCCACAAACAACGATGTCTTTACAGGTTCTCGCACGGTTCACGCCACACCATTTATGGCGATGGAAAACAGAGACACTCAGGAGTAAGGAGAGCTTCCCTCTAAATCCCCAGGAGTGCAGGGATCGCAAAATGCCGTACCTTCAAGTGGTGTCGTAGGCCTTTTCTATGTCAAATAATATGGCCACAAGATGTTGCCTCAAGACGATGTCCAAATTGCTGGTAAAAATGCAACAAGGTGGTCCAAGGTTGACTGGATTCCACTAAACCAACTCTGGATTAGGGCCAACAGATTTCTACACTCCAAGGTCCATACTAACCGATGATGCACCATGCGTTCCAGCACTTTACACAGCTTGTGACAGGAATGGGTCGATATGTTGATGGCAATGATCGATCTTTCCCCCCTTTAGGAAATGGGATGATAATGGCTTCTCGTTATATAGCAAGAGTGGAGAACATTTCCCAGATACGTTTATAGAGCCGAAAGAGAAGTTGCATGAACATTTGAGGAATATCCAGCATTTCGTGGATTGATTTCATCTGGATTTGGGAAAAAATTTTTGCAAGCACTAAACCAGAGCACATTTCACACAAGGCGAATGGGGTATTGTAATGCCCTCCTCGCAGGACGTGGACCAACCCACCTCGACGGGAGAATTTTTGGAGGCACGTGCCGTTCAGTGCAACACGCAGTAGTTGACTGTCAGGCGAATGGAGCTCTAATAGCGGAAAAAATGTAGTGTAAACCATTGTATTCTGGTTGTAGTGTAAACCGGTGAACAATAATAAAAGCAATAATGTACAGTGAATGCTGTATTGCGATATATTAATTACAGGACCAACGTGTTGAACAGTTTTTACTCCATCATAATTTATTATTACTTAATAATATATTAAAAACTTAATAGATGGTATTTCGTGACGCAGAGCAAAGTCGACTGTCTTTCACCAAGTAGATCCGGGTTCGATTCCTACACAATCTCATGTGAAATTCGTTATAAAAAAGCAAGTTTGCCTACTTCACAGGGGCTAGTCCAACCCCTGTGAAGTGACCTAAACCCTACCCCTTTCCTAAATCGTTTCCCATTTTGGCCGCTAGGTAGTGACGCAGGAGCGCGAGGTAGGAGGCGCGTACGCGGAGATGCTAACTAACCTCTCGACAACTGGCTGCGACGAAATGGGAAAGGATACAAATACAAGTGTGTGTGTGTGTGTATGTATGTATGTATGTATGTATGTATGTATGTATGTATATATATATATATATATATATATATATATATATATATATATATATATATATATATATATATACACACACACAAACATACACGGAGGATTACTCCATAGTGCGCTCAATAATCCCTCCCAGCAAGTCACTCAAAACAAAGGCGCATAGGTGACCAAGTCCACCAGTTTCTAAAACATTAATTTTATTTTATACATTATTATTTACCGACTTAGCCAATTAAAATTTAAAATGCACCGTATTTATTTGTACACAACACTATTGCATTTAATTATATATAGGAGCAAGGATAAATGGAGTGCTATTCTCCAGTAACATTGATGCGTATTTTTGAATACCAAAGAATCCATTTTAGAAAAATGTAGAAAAAAGTATAAAATGAAGGTAATTTTACCATATTTTGAATTGAATTGAATTTGCCTTATTTGCCATATTTCATTTCATATAACGCCAATACCTAGGAAAAACGGATATTCTTCAAGTTATACTGATACAAAATGGGCTAATCCCCGTATTTGCTTATTCTCGAAGCACCCAAATCCGCGGTGCTCTCGCGGCTAAACCGTTGATTGGAGAAAAAAACATGATATAGTAAGTAGGTAATTTTATCTTCTTTTATTTCATATATGTTCTTTATTTACAAAATTAAGTTCATTATGCTATATTCAGTCTTCACACTGCCCGATGAGTACCATTCGCGAGTGTTCATTCCCGCCTGAAATATGGCATACTAGTCTGGGGAAATTCATTTTATAGTTCCCAGACTTTTAGATTACAAAAAGAAATTGTACGAATAAATAAATTTCACCGAAGTGATTTTTGTAAGCCCCTCTATATTAATCTACGAATTTTAAGAATCTAGGAATTAGTAATCGTATTCATCAGGAGACAGCATCTACATCTCGCTACAACAAAATTCACATACAATACTCGTACATTATTTTACAACAATTTGGCAGATAACCTTAAACTATTAAAATCGATACAAAAGTACACGTCCCAAGTAAAACATTTTCTGCTGCATAAGTGTGCCAATAAAATTAGATTCTATACTGAACATCAAAATAGAAAATAATATTAATTTTAACAATTATATTTAATGTTTTATTTTCTATTTGGACTGTATATTTTTACACAACTTGTTATGCGTATTGTATCTCATCTTCGGGGTCACTGACCTGCATCTCAAATCAGGCTTTTAGTCATTTCCCTGTTCCCTTGAGCAAATGATAATATGGCCTCTTGTTTTGCTTCGGGACATAAATGTAACTTAATTATTTGTGCACGTTTTTTGGAGTTCAGTGGGAAATATAGTTATTCAAATTATCGTTCTCCATGTCGCGGCTTCACGGAGAACATGACGAGGGATAAAAACACAAATCTATAGCTGATTTGCCTAAGAAAATATATATTATTAGATCGGAGAGAATATTTTGTTAACAATTCTTTCTAAAAATGCTCATTTCTGTCTGTACAAGATTTCCGACACTAGCTACTCAGCGAATTCAGTCGGTCTGGAGGAGAATTCTCGTGGCCGGCTGCTCTGATTGATAGTTTTCCGTGTTTTTTCCCATCAATACCATGTGAATGCCGGAGCAGTACCCTATCAAACGGGCCACGGGTCGCGCGCGATCTTTCCTTCATCTTCCTTGCTCTATCCTCATTCCTTACATTTGCATGGACTACACTTCCACCCAGGCCGGAAGACCGGTCGGGAGCTTACACTTTGTCATGGCAGGGGCGGTGCCCCACTGCAACAGGCGCCTAGTGGGGGATAGCACCGTTAGCCGAAGGGCAGGTCGGCGTCACATCTCACCATCCAGCGGGGGAAGGCCACCGTCACCTCCCGGGGAGAAAATGCTCAACATTTCTGGGCCTATCGACCTTATCAATTGACGTGCCCGGAAGCACTAGTCAATCAATCGAGAAATCTGTACATCGGGCGAGTGTAGAGTAATAGATTCACTGCGAAATAAAGCAGTAATTTCAATACTGAAGGCGAAGACGGGTTTTAAAATTTTCATTATTAACATCAAAATTACTGTACATTCCTTTTCAAGACTAGATTTAATTTTGAAGACAGATTTTTATTAATTTTAAATAACTTTCTATATTGTAGTTATGCTATTCTATTTTTTTGTAATTTTTGAAAATATAAAATTCAACGAAAATGAGACCTGCGCCATTTTTAAGTCCTTTGTCCTACCGAAAAGAAATAAACCAGAAATTTGAAGCAATTTGTCAGTAAATTGTGAAATTGGATTAACCATTTTTTCGATATTACGGACACACAAAACATTGCCTCTCCTTTACAATAGTTTCTCTTTGCTACGTAAGTAGTTTGAAAGTAAAACGGTGTTGTAAGCTATCGAAGATACTGTGTGCTGAAACTACCAGTATCAGTTCGTAAGGATGAACGATTATTAATTTTTGGATTTTCTTCTAGGCGCATCACTCAGCACTAAATGATCGTAACTTTAATTGCACGTAAATGAGTTAATTAGAAAGACACAATAATGAAAAATTCATATGCCAGCACATTTCTGCAATGGAGTTACCGCACACTTTAGAGAAAGACAAATACCTATTATTTTCAACATTTTTAAAGCATAATTAATGTGTCTAAAACTGAAAAGCGCACAATGTTAGTAAAATTCAAACCGTCTTAAATGTAATGTTCAATTGTAAATCATCAAAATTTTTTCAGATTCCTAGTAACCAAAACTTAAATAACGCAATGGAGTTTGTTTCAGAATACTTACCGTCTTTATTTTTGTCCAGACTGGAAAACTGAAGTCGTAATTGTTTTTCATGCTCACGAACATAATGAATAAATTCTGCCAGAGATATATCACCACTTTTATTTTGATCTGACTGCTCCAGAAATTTCTGAAACACACAGAAATGTAAAGAATGAGCTAAAATCGTTTGGATTAATTAATACAACACAAGTTCAAATACGTAGAATAACAATAACGAATGACAAGGATACGACATAGAAAATGCGAGAATGGTAATTACTATGATAAGAACAACTTCTAAAAACAAGCGAAAAACCTCGTGTATACGTGTATGTATATTGTAATACCCTGCTTCAGTTATACATTTCCTGGTTATTATTTACTTTGACCTGCTCGATCTGACCGCAACTGTCACTGCGCCAACTCTCCGTGGGGCGGGTGAATCCCAGGGTAATCTGACTCGCCTGTTCTTTTGGTTTCCTGTCTGCAGCGATGCCCCAGTTCTGACATTATGATGGGACGCATGCGTTACCGGCTTCTCCATGCACCAATGCATTGAAACATATCGTGATTTGATAGACGAATTTTAATTTTGGTTGCATACGTGAGGAGAGGCCTCTGATTACAGAAGTAATTAACTTAACCTAATGTTGACTTAGTTATGCCCTCTCGGCTCATTGTAGGGGCGTTCGGACCCTCAGACGGGTATGGCGTCGGCCCCAGCGCTCAGGACCTGCGGTGCCATGCCATGCCATGCCATGCCATGCACATGCACTTGCATGTACATGCCATGCAAGATGCGAAGATGCCGTTTGGACAGTCGATTGCATAAGTAGGGGCTACTTGATTACAGTACACTCGTCTTTGCACTATTTTTTCTACAAGATATAAGGTCAACTTTGTTGTTTTTTAATAGAACGGACATGGTGTTCCCCAGGAATAGAGCCCAATTTGGATCCTTGAAGGACTCCGCACGTCATATCTTCAAAACTAAGAACGTCCGAGTATATAATTTTCCTTTCTGATAGTCCTCAATGATTCTTAGCAGGTATTTGGGGTCCTACTTCTCCACCAATACATTAATAACATCTTTTCAGCTAGCAACTTGAAGCCATTCCTAATATAGATTGCAACCAGCGCGCAAAACCTCCTTTTTTACCTGTTCCCCCTTTTGCAGTTTCGGCTATACGTACACTTCCAGTATTGCGTCCGTAGTTGATTGGTCTTTCCTGAATACAAACTGTCTACCCAAGAAATTCATTCCTGATCATGTTTCTCTAGGCGTTGGAGAATCAACCCTTCCATGAATTTGCCCATTGTGTCCAAGAGTCTTAGCGGTCTAAACGACGACATCCTGTCTATGCTTGTTTCTTTCCCGTAATAGAATCAGTTTCTGCTTCATCCCGCTTTTTTTAAGAAAATTCCATGTCTGAGGTAACTACTGAAGGCCTTCAATAAACATTCCGGATATTCCTTTACCACATTCTTATATATTTCATTAGGAATTTCGTATAGTCCGGTGGCTTTCTTACTTTTTAGTTTCCTCGCCTCTACCTATAGCTCTTCTTTCGTGAATACTTCCGTTCTCGCTAAATGCGTAGTTCGGTTTTCTTCTTACCCACGGGTCTCTCGGGAAGAGATTTATCATTTTCTTCACTCATTCAGGGTCCTGTAGTGCAGCGATCTTTGTATTCAATCAAGTTTTTTTGTTACCATTTTGTAAGCCATACCCCAGGAGTCATCCTCCATTTCTTCCCGTAGCTCTTTCCAGCACTTTTAACTTCCTATTTTTAATTTCTATTAACAGCTGTTTTTGGCATATTATGTATTCGCTTCGGAGTGATTCGTCATTTTTTAATCTTGTGGCTAGTCTCCTAGCTTTAATGCACTTCTTCATTTCTGCGTTCTCAGAAGACCACTAGCACACCTGCTGCTTTTCCCCTGGGCGGATGGATGCGGTGAACGAGGCCATCACTATGTCCCTCGCTTCTTTGATAATGTTACAGGAGAATTCTACTTTTCGACCCATGTTCTGTACTACGACTCCTCTAGAGATTTCTTCGCCTTCGATTCCTCCAGCTTGTGTTCTATGGTGGTCGACTTCTGAGTTTCTCGTACATCTTTTGATGTCCACCAAGTACTTTTGTTGAAAAATTGAATGTACATGTAGCCACTGAGCGTCTCTTCGTTCAGAACTCTCCAATCCTTTGCTCTTCTTGCAATGTTATTGGAGCCTATCGTCACATCCAGTAAGGATGCAGCTTCTCTTCGGCATGTACTCACCCTACCCATAGTTAGGACGACTAGGTCTTTTTTGGCGATAACTCACAGACAATATCCCCTCTTTTGTCGTTTCGGCTTTCCCCCATTCTGAAGACTGGCCATTAAAATCGCCTGCCACTACGACGTCCCCCTTCGCTGACTTTAAGCTCCTCTATAGTTCATCTATTTCCGTTTTAAATGTGTCCATTGGGTCGTTTAGTGAAAAGTAGCAGCAATAGACCCTTAAGTCACCTGTTTCTATCCATAAAAAACCGTAATTGGTCGGTTTGAATTTGGACACGCCGATCTTCTTGAGCCATCTTGGTACAACGTGGCTCTGTCTGTTGTCAGGTTGTTCACTAACTAGCAACAGGTCAACAGGTAACTAGCAACAAGTCTTGTGCAGCTTAGCTCTTTCCTAGGTTAACATGTATAAACTTAATTTTGGCTGTTGGATCGCTTGTTCAATTCGGCAATATATGAGGTGCTTTTTTTGATACCCAGCATGTGGTCATAACTGAGGCTTTTGTCTTTACAGATGACACACTGGGTTGTAACTCTGCAATGTTTTATTAGATGCCCTACTTTGCCGCATTTGTAACACACGTTCCTTCGGTCCAGACCCTTGCAGGAGCTCAATATGTGTCCGAAATGTAGGCATTTGAAGTATCTTGTTAGTTGTTGCTTCTCACGTATCCGGCAGATCCAGCCTATTTTTATTCTGCCTTTACATCTCTTCAAGAGCTTCAGAGCTGTAACTGAGGGCAGCAGTATAGTCGATGAATTCTGGCAAATCATCTTCCAAAACCATTAGGAATAAGTGAAGAAAAGAAGAGAGTGATCTTATTTCTGCATAGGAGAAATTTAAATTAGATTATGAAGTTAAAGACTTTCTCTATTTTGACGAAGAACTTGCGATTGCGCAGTGTCGGGTGAAAGTTTGATCAATTCAGTTCAAGAAGTGACAGTGATAGTGACTTTAATTAAAGACAATAATGGTGATGGTAGTGTGCCTAATTGTACAGAAGTAGTTTCTGCAATAAACACCATTAAAATATATTACTGTAGCAGATGGTGATGTTAATAGTTTAAATCATGAGTATGGAACTTGAAAGCAAGTTGAAAGAATCCACCAGAAGGCAAAACAGTCATGCATATTATAATTTTTTAAATATTAGAATTTTTGTATTTTGATGTACTATATCATTTAATGTTTAAATATTTAATAAAAGTGGATTGCAAATTTTCAGTATTTTGTTACATGTGCAGAAGAGTTTTCCATCCGTTTACACTTTCCAGCTATTTACGCCATTTTTTGGGAGTCGTCTAAAACGTGAAAAAGAGGGGTTCTACTGTATACACAAAAACAAACAAAATATATACAAATTATACAAAAACATATCTGATTTTAAGTACTTTGTGAAGTGCAGTCCAGCTACATGACCGATTAAATAGAGTCGTTGCAAAGTTGAAGGAGTAACGGAACTAAGGAGTTGATAGATGTAATTTCAAAATAATTGATCCTAATGTTAAAAAGGGAGGATGTGTTATTGCCGGAAAAATGTAGTATTTTGTCCTAAATCTTCGTGAACTGATTGGATTCTATTACTTCATTCATAGTATTCTGAGTTTTTATGTTCAAAGTTCCTACTATCAGTCTCTGATTTCTGTTGGGTTCTACCACTAAAATACGAAACTGATCAAACTTTATTGTATGATTTAGATGGATATTGAATTCTGCTTATTTGAACTTTAGTTTGGATATTGAATTCTGCCTATTGATATTTTTCTATGTTCTGTTATTCTCCGTTTAATTCTTCATTCGGTTTGGTCAACATAATTCAATTCACAATCATTACATTGAACTGCATAAACAATATCTATCATGTCACGTTTAGGTATTTTATTTTTAACATCTTATATAAGATTTTGTTTCTTAATTATAGCACTTTTAATGTTGATATTTCACATTGATTTTAACTGTTGTAACACTATGGTCGGCGTTTTTCAAAATGGAATAACATTAGGTAAGTTTGAATAGATTCAATAGAAAGCTTGGACAATATATTAGGCGGAACTCTTAAAATTTTGTTGGCAAGTTTGTTAACATATTTAAGTATTAATTACTCTAGATTGTGCTAAAGGATTTGTTTAACTTTATTAAGATTATCAACTGATGTGATAATTTACTAAACTCTACATGACTACAATTTTCAACCAAGGTGGATGACCAGATAAAAAATCTAGTATAACTGCTGCAAAAGTAGGTTTAGTATATCAATTGGTTTCTAATTTTTTATTATGTCTGAAGATTGTATCATCAAGAAAGTTAATCAAATTATGTTCTTTTTTTCAATTCAAATTGAATAGATTTACTGAAGCATTAAAGAGTTAAAAAAATAATTGAATTGTCTCCTCTTCTATAATAACATGTGCATCCTCCACATACCTGACACAAAGAACTGTATTATCTGAGCAAAAAGTTGTTGTTCAATATAATACATCACTGTTTCCGAGAAATAAGAGCTTTATGGGCCTCGAATTTGACAGACTTAATTTGGGAACAAATTTTGTTGTTAAAGATAAATTTTATATTATTTAGTAAAAAAAACCTAACACAAATCATTATTTCTTGTTCAAGAGTGGACACCTTAGAGGAATTTATCTTTCAAACTTTGTTGGAGGGTCTCTAAAATTAGTTGATGGGGAGTTGAGGAGAACATTAAAATAATATCACATGATATCATTCTGTAATTCTTTTCCAATTTTTTTGTGCTTAATTTCGAGATCAGTTCATAACTATTCTTAAAGACATATGGGTAATCCATGTTAAGGGCTTGAGAATAGCATTGAGGTATTAGGATAGTTGGTATTCAGAAGTCCCAA